GCTGGTTCTCCGCTTTGGGGTCGAACTTGCTGACCCGTTCGGACACCGTGGATCCGAGCTTCAGCAGCGCGCTGTGGTCCACGTTTTCATTCAGGCTGCCGGCTCTGGGCAGGGACAGCCGCACCATCCTGCCGCCGTCCTCCGCCTCCGCGTCGCCCCCGGTAGTGGTCTGCATCTGCTGGAACATGTTTTTGATGCGATGCACGTTGGAGCCGTACCTGCGGCCCCGGGGGCCCTCCTGCACGTCCCCGTTGGCGGCGCCGTCCTTCAGCGGCTTCAGGGCCTGCATCCCCGCCTCGTACGCGTTCCTGTGCGGGGACGGGCTCCTGAGCGTGGAGCCGGAGCTCTTGGATGTGGATTCTGTCTTCATCATGTTCGCTCAGGCGTCGCGTCGGATGCTCAGCGACCTCATGCCTCCTTTTCACGCCCCCCCCTAAATGCGTCCTCCTCCAGCCGGCCACGCGGGGAACTAAACACGGACAACAGATCGCATCAAAGGCCTTCCTGCATCCGCTGCGATGCTCAGAGAAAGTGATGCATCTGTCATCAGCTCGCATGCAGACGCGTCGATCAAACCTGAACCCTCCTGGATTTCTGCAGCAATCCCTCAAACATGCAGAATAAAAGCGGAGATGAGCGGATTTAGCCCAAACTGACGGCTGATTGCTCACGTTTAATCCCTTTTTGGAGGCAGCATCATTTTGATCACTTCATTCTGGGAGCTGCAGATTTCTGGTCCTCCTGTAGCGGCAGGCTGCTGCTACTGCTGCATGCAGGAGGAGGCTCCCAGGTCCTAACGCCTGCCGTCAGAACCAAACTGCAAGCCACGATCCAAAAAAACAGATACGCCATAAAAACATTAATTATTGGATTAAAGGCTACCAGCGACGGTTATTTCACCCTAAATAAAAAAGTTCTTCAAAAACAAAACTTAAACTAGCCAATACAAAAGTTAAGACTAACATACAAACACAAAAAACACACAAAGAAATAAAATGCTCCCTCTAGTGGTCTGATTGATACAGAATGGGATTTAGGACACTGGAAAAAAATGAAAAAGAAAGTTAACAGATTTTTTTATTTTATTTTCGTTTAATTGGGGAAAAGTCAGAATTCTGATTTTAATCCTAGAGCTCTGAGTGAAAAGTCAGAATTCAGTGAAAAAAAATCTGAATTCTGTGAAAAAAGAATTTCGAGATTAAAGTCAGTTCTAACTTTAATCTCAGAACTCTGAGGAACAAAGTCAGAATTTTGAGATTAAAGTCTGAATTTTTACTTTAATCTCAAAATGGAAAAAAGAATTTCAAGATTAAAGTTAGAATTCTGAGAAAAAAAATCCGAATTCTGTGAAAAAGAATTTCGAGTTTAAAGTCAGTTCTAACTTTAATCTCAGAACTCTGAGGAAAAAAAATAGTCAGAGATAGTCAGAATTCTGAGAAAAAAGAATTTTGAGATGAAAGAGAGTTTCAAGATTAAAGTTATAATTATGAGGGGGGAAAAAATCAAAATCAGAATTCTGTGAAAGATTTAGAATTCTGAGATTAAAGTCAGAATTATGACTTTTTTTCACATATTAAACTAAAATAAAAATTAGTTAACTCTTTTTTTTTCTTCCCAGTGGCTCTAATCCTTTTTCGTACTGATCCTCTGCCGTAGCATTTTCATTTACAGCTGTTTTTCGCCGCTTCAGTCTTTTTTCTTTACATGACTGTTAGCATCATTTATGTGTTTGCACTTTCCTAATCTCTAGTTTTTGTGTTTTCTACTCTATCGTCTTAAATTTGCTAGGCTCATTTTTGTACTTGCAGGACTTTTGGAATCTGCTGTGAAATCCTGTATTTACATGGCGGTTCCTCCGTAGGCGACAGTGGCAACTTGTACAATAATTATTTTTCTGTATTCATTGCAAGACAACAAACAAAATGTGATCTTGGTATCTAAAAGTTTTCTTCCTGAGAAACTGATCTCTGGTCTCATCTGATGGTTGATTATCAGGGTTTTGTTTAACTACAATCATACAACTTAAGTGTCTTAATGCAGAGAAAAGTAAAACACTAAGGGTTGAGGAACGAGATTCAAAAACAGCTGCTTTGTTTTCTACAGTCTACGTACAAAATCAGAAAAGTGATTAAAAACAAAAAAAATTCCTGTTAACATAACATGCCAAAATTGTTGTAATTTCACAACCATGGCAGTCCAAGTCGGCATGTCCTTCATGCTGCCTTATTATTGACATTGCCTGCTTAAAAAAGGAATCATCACTTAATAAAGTTTGATAAACGGGCTAAAATCTTTATGTAAAACAGTTTAATTAGAGCTTCAGATGACGCAGAGTTTAAAAACCGCCGCTGTTGATGTTAAATTGTGTTGTGTAAACCTTTAATGCATGAAGTTATAGGACTGCACATGCATGGCTAGGGCTTCATCATATAAGCAGGAGGTTATGTTTTTTCACATAAAACACAACGATGGAGACCCAGATGTTTTTGAATCTTTCCCTTTTTTAATCAGCATGTTTTTAAGGTGTACAAAAGGAGGGACATTTTTCATTTTAACCCAAAAAACAAGTGAGTCAGGTTTAGCCAAAGGTTAAACTGCTGTCTAAATGGAATCTAAAATTAGACATTTATGCAGGATGTTTAAGTATCAATAATAAAACATTTTATTATTGAATTTGGTTTAATGATTTACTCATTTGATTGTTATATTGTATATCTTTATTTGTATTTCAACTTAACTTTTAACTTTATATGTTAATGAGTTCCTTGATTTTTTTTATCTTTTTACTTAACTATTTTTTTAACATCCAAAAACAACAGTGAGTTCGTTTGGGAAGGGGTCATATATAATTTTGATTAAATACAGTTTGTGAAAATCTATTTATTTATATAACACATATAAATAGCAGTAAGTTCGAAACTCATGCACAAATAAATAAAATAGGAACACATTTCAGTGGTTCACATACATTCCACTAGAAAATATTAATTATTTAGATATATAAAAAAAAAGACAGTGGTTGTAATGAGCAGCAATAGAAATAGTTTTATTTCTTATCCTTCAAACATATTGTAGAACACTTTTTATATGTAAAACAAAAATCCACTTGTCTTTACTGACCCATCTGTGTAATAAACCGACGGCTTTAGGACCCAGTACAAGCCTGTCACGTCAAACCCTCTTGGCCAATAGGGATCCAGCATTTGCAAAACAGGTTGTTGCTTCCTACATTGTTTATTTTCACTGACAGACATGTTCATTGCTGAAAAAGAAAGCGTTACATTTACCTTTTGGTTGAAAACAGCCCCCCCACACATACACTAACTTAAATTTAAGACTTTGCAAGGTTTCTGAATACATTTAAAGCCATGCAGCTGCATAGATACATCATAAAAGGATTAAAGCAGAGTTCAAGGATTTGATATTTATTTTCAAAATCCAAATCTGAATATAAAGCCCTCTCACATTCCACCTTTAAATGGTTATGTTACCCTAATTATAGATTAATTGCTCATTACAGGATTCATATGATCTCTAAAAGCAGTTTAATGATCAACAGGAGGCACCATGGATTCCATTTCTGTCCATTTTATTTGATAACTACAGTTTGTTGCATCTATAGATGAAAACATGAGAATGGAGGCTGAGCTAAATGAGCCGAGGACACTAAAAGATGAAAGACAAGAGAAAGCAAGGAGTCAAAATGTTTGAGAGGAGATCTGAAACAGTAAATAGGATGTGAGATTGTTAATTCATGTACCAAGAAAGAGGAACTGTTGATAATGAGAGGCAACGAATGACTAAGCATTCTAGACTCGTACCTTTTTTATTTTAGCAGACTCAGTACATCTCTGCAGCACAAATGCAATAATCCAAATCAACTAGTGTGTAGTCTTTCCTTAGCCCTGTACTTTTTAGATATTTTTATATCTAAGGAAACATATTCCAGGACATTACAACTTTTTTCTATGGTTTTTTTGTACTATATACATTCTTTTTATATTATCAGTTGTATTTTTATCTTTAATGGCATCTTGCTTTAAAGGAATAGTACACCCAAAACATGATTAGCCTTCATTTTCTACTCACCCCCATGCTGAACAACACTCTGGAGTACTTTTTTGATATCTCACATGCATCTGGAGATCTGGGAGGCTTCTTGCTGTCTGCTGACATTCAAATAATGGAGGTCTATGGTGCCTGAGACAGAAAGGTCCATAAAAGTCCACAAAAAACGTGTCAATATTCCTCCATGCTGCTCGTCCAATGTATTCCAAGTGTCCTGAGTGGGTAGCATCCAGAATTTACTCGAAACAAAGTCATTTAGAATGTTTTTAGAGCATAAACAGTAGTGTATAGGATTTCCTGAAAGCGCGCGCCTGCGAGTTCACGGCGCTACGGAAACCGCGGCAGACCAAACCAGATGAAAGTGCGCATTCAGCTCGGCAAAGAACTCATGCTCTTCCTCAACACTGAAGTCCTCAGACATTTTTCTTTCGTTGTTTCTTTCTTTGCACAGGTAAACAGCACATTTCTTCTTCTACGCTTGCATTATCGTCAGAGCAGACGCTGAATGCGCACTTTCATCTGGTTTGGTCTGCCGGCTTCCGTAGCGTCGTGAACGCGCAGGCGCGTGCTTTCAGGAAATCCTATACACTACTGTTTATGCTCTAAAAACATTCTAAATGACTTCGTTTTGAGTAAATTATGGATGTCGGGTAAAAACTGTCTGTAAGGAGGTTGGTTCTTGGTTTGATTGCTCTGTATCATCTGCCTGAAGGCAACAGCGTAAACAGAGAATGTCCAGGATGAGAAGTGTCTTACTTCCTACTTATGAAAAACAAAAATCACACCCAGGTGTACCTTCATTGTTGGACCTCTGAGGTAAATTGGTTGCACTGGATTTTGCTTTAGGGTTGTCAGAGTAAAAGAGGGGGCTTATTTGTTCTTTTTTTTTTCTTCACTCCTCAGAGATTCATAACAGTTCTCAGTTTACAGACAGACGGCGCTCCGGATGTTGTTAGGTGAGGAGGCAAAAATAACTCTGGCAGGAGTTTAAGTGTGGCCAAGCCCCCACATTGCAGCTGGCTCCGTCAGTCCAAGGCCAAAACAAGATGGCGGAACTCAGGAGCTGGTGTTTCATTTTAGCAGGCAAGTTTAACCCTGAAACATCAAACTTCATGTAATTACAGAAACAAGGCGATGTTTGTTGAAAGCAAACGTCACCTTTGATATCAGCTGTGGATAAAAAACCAACCAGTTTCTCTGTTTCAGTCAGTTTTTTTCTGATTTTGTTGAACTCTTTTCTTTTAATTTACTAACTTTGCTTTGTTATTTTACATCTATTCAGTGTTTGCTGCCAGCTTGTATGGGATCAGTGCAGAAATCAAATTTACCACTCCTGTGGGGAGGCTGTTTACATACGAGGTGATGAGAGAGAAATTCCAGAATGACTTTGAGACGTCATCAAAACTCTACAGTAAGTCTGATTGTTGTGTTATTTTATTTTTTTAGATAACAGAGACAGAACACACAAAAAAAAATGTCTCACATCGTTTTATTTGTTCATGTTATACAGCTGGGGTTCTACACGATGACCCCATGGTTTTTAAGTGCAAGAAGCAGGGGTTTCCTGACCTCCCCGAGTGGCTGCGCTTCATCCAAAGGCATCCCTTTGATAATGGCTTCCTGTACGGCACGCCAATGTCTCCAGGAAAATATTTCATTGAGGTCTGGAGTTTTTTTTTCCCATTCAGATATCAACTCAGCTAGAGACAATTAGAACAACACTAATCGTCAACATCTGCTGTCAAAACTAAACACATAAAGGCTATTTTGAGGCTTCAGAGGGAAAAAAATCAGCTTTTAAAAGCTATTTGGAGAAAAAGTAAGTTTAGAAATGCGAATCAACTCTTTAGTTTTTATCAAATAGAATCGATTGATAGATTTAAAAGTATATTTTAAGGTTAGGTGAAGCGTTTAACTGTGCCAATATTTATTTGAAGATAATCAAAATAAATCATCAAAAAATATCATAACATACAAAGCAAGGAAGCAGAGCTAGTGAGAAAATATTAAAAATATTCATGTATGGTTTAAATATGGGGAGTGAATCCTACCTTCATAATTTGGGGTTTTGATGCTTTTATCCAAAGTGAAATGATTACACAACAAACCATTTCAGTTCATTTCAAAACAGTTTCCTACAAACCTGTGGGACCAAAATTTTACATACAGGCTCAGATAAATTCACACAAGCAAGCCTTGATATATCTGGAAAAATAGGTTTCTAAAAAAGTTTTTTTTATGCTCAAATAAAATCAAAGATTGATAGATTTGTAAACAATAGCAAACATGTATTGAAACTCATGCACTTCTAGAAAAAATGTCTTCTTCTCCTCAGATCATTGCAGTTAAATTCAGCCTGAAGTTCATGTCTTCTGAAAATTATTCTAACATATCAGAAAGAAAGTTAAACCACAATGAAAGGAGGTCTGTAATTGATTGTTCCTTTATCTGGAGGTGAGGCTTTCTCATTAAAAATACTTTTAGCTGCTAAGCATTAAGATGGCAGCAACATGGCGGCCTAGTGGTTAGGGCATTTAACACCTGAGCAAGACCCTAAGCTCCCAAAATGCTCCCTGGGCGCCGCACGATGGCAGCCCACTGCTCCCCAAGAGGAAGGGGTTAAATACATGAGTTCATTTCGTTGTTCTGTACTCGTGACAGTTTAAATTAAAGAAAATGCTGATTAAATGACAGTCATGGGCTCTTCAAGGCAGGAGTCCACAGGGGCCCGTGCCCCTCTAGAACTGGTCCTCTTCAGAGATGGGAAGTAACAAAGTACAAATACATCGTTACTGTACTCAAGTAGATTTTTCTGGTATTTTTACTTTACTTTACTACTTATTTTTATGGTGACTTTTTACTTCTACTCCTTACATTTTTACATAAATATCTGTACTTTCTACTCCTTACATTTTAAAAAATTGGCTCGTTACTTTAGTTTTGAATAATTTCAATGGAGTTACTGTTATAATTTTTTACGTCATCAATACCAAATTCAGTCTAATTGGATGGGAATCTACGTTGCATTTGACGCACCACTACAAGATGAATCGACAGATTCGGCGGTATTCATTGGCGGCAAATCATTGCAGCTTGGTGGCGGTGGCGTTAGCATAGTAGCATGGACGACGAGATGATTGAAAATGAACACAACGGAGATCTAGTCCTATTGGCAGACATCCATTTAAAATGTAGGCAACGGCATGAAAAAAGTGGTTTCTACTTTTACTTTTATACTTTAAGTAAATTTACAAGCCTGTACTTTGTTACTTTTACTTGAGTAAAGAAGTTTAATCAGTACTTCCACTTTTACCAGAGTATTTTTTTTAACACAAGTATCTGTACTTTTACTCAAGTATGGTAAGTGAGTACTTTTGCCATCTCTGGCCCTCTTTTAGCCTTACCACCAAATCAATTTGTTGGACAATATGCTTTGACACAGAGTCTGTAACAGTAACGTTTAACCTGCAGCTCAGGAGCTGTTTTTGTGTCTCACTCACTGCATCACAGCAAGAGTCTATAACTTAAATGCTTTTTTACAAAAGTCAACATAGTTTTATCTGTAGGTTAATTGCATCTGGCAATAATATTATCTTGTCACTTACCAGTGACCAAGTAAACGTAATTCAGTCCGATAGCAGTCTAAGCTATGAAGACACTGGTATTCCTGTCTCTGTAAATCTATCTAATTGTAACTTGTACTGTACTTTTCAACCTGTATTGTTTTATTTTTATCTTATATTTTTATTGGAACATGAGTCTATCTATCTATCTATCTATCTATCTATCTATCTATCTATCTATCTATCTATCTATCTATCTATCTATCTATCTATCTATCTATCTATCTATCCAGAGATGGCAAAAGTACTCACTTTCTGTACTTGAGTAAAAGTACAGATACTTGTGTTAAAAAATACTCTGGTAAAAGTGGAAGTACTGATTAAACTTCTTTACTCAAGTAAAAGTAACAAAGTACAGGCTTGTAAATTTACTTAAAGTATAAAAGTAAAAGTAGAAACCACTTTTTCATGCCGTTGCCTACATTTTAAATGGATGTCTGCCAATAGGACTAGATCTCCGTTGTGTTCATTTTCAATCATCTCGTCGTCCATGCTACTATGCTAACGCCACCGCCACCAAGCTGCAATAATTTGCCGCGAATGAATACCGCCGAATCTGTCGATTCATCTTGTAGTGGTGCGTCAAATGCAACGTAGATTCCCATCCAATTAGATTGAATTTGGTATTGATGACGTGAAAAATAATAACGGTAACTCCATTGAAATGATTCAAAACTAAAGTAACAAGCCAATTTTTTAAAATGTAAGGAGTAGAAAGTACAGATATGTGTGTAAAACTGTAAGGAGTAGAAGTAAAAAGTTGCCATAAAAATAAGTAGTAAAGTAAAGTAAAAATATCAGAAAAATCTACTTGAGTACAGTAACGAAGTATTTGTACTTCGTTACTTCGCATCTCTGGATCTATCTAAATATCTATCTAATATTGTCCTGTTTTTTGTTTTAATTTCCACAAACTACTAACCTCATTAATCTTCTGTAAACTAAGCATCACCTTCCCTCACAGATTTATGCAATCAACAAAATCAGCTATGATGCAGCCAGAGAGCTTCTTGTCATCAAAGTTGTTTCAGGTATGTATTTTTTTATTATTATTATTATTCATTTATTTATTTTTTATTTATACAAGCGTATGAACAGTAATAGGCAAGTTAGGAAGAATCAAGCAGACTACAAAAGCATTAAATGGCAGATTTCCCCTACAGAAAAGATGCTGCCCTATCAAGCAGAGTTCTTCATCCAGCTGAGAGAAGTTGAGAAGGTGCTGCCCTCTTCTGTTCAAATTGAGATAAAGCAGGATCTGCAGAAGCTGTGGAACAATGAGGCCTTGGAAATGATCAACATAAGCAATGCCCTGGATCGTGGAGGCAGAGTTCCTCTGCCTCTTGCAGGACATTATGAAGGGTAAGAAGAGTAATCAGTAAAAATCAATACATGACTCCATAAATGAATGTTTATTCAGAATCTGCCATGCCTCAGGGTGTATGTAAAGGTGGGGTCCAAGAAGTACTTCTCCAAGTGTTTGCAGAGGGTGATGTCACCAGAGTACCAAAGGGAGTGTGCAACAGAGGCTAAAGTGAAGATACCTGGAGAATGCACCTTCTGCAAAATCCCCAGTAACTGCATCACCTGGTGCAAGACGGAGCTGGTGAGGCGTCCTGCTTCACAACGATTTCACCATCATGCAGATCCACACTCATTATCTTAATGTGACGTTTAAAGGAAAAGCTTGGTCACATTCAGAATTTAAACTCCTGAAAGTACTTTAAATATGAAATCATTACATACGGTAGTAATTTTCATTGAATGTGCTTTACTGGAGGCATCCATGTTTGTCAAAGAACACTACTGCCACCTACGGGTTTGTGACGTCACGGTGCGGTATCGGCTGTTGATCAAGTCCCAGTGCTGTATCTAGTGTTTTTATTATCCAAGTCATCTTGAAAACATTCTCCTTCCAAATGTTGGCTACATATAACCATATTATTATCTTCAAGTTAGAAATCCAATGACAGACAATGAATCGTAAAGATGAAATAACAAACAGTTTTTTTCAGTTTTACTCGATGTAGTACGTAATCAATCAACCCAATCAATCAAAATGGTGAATTTGGTGAATTTCAATGGTGAAGTCCTCTGGAAATCTTCAATAATTGTTGTTGATTGCAGATTTGTCTAGTAGTTCCCATTGATTTTGCTTGTAAAGCGGGGAGAATGGCGCTAGGCTTACCAGAATCAGAAATACTTTTATAATCCCAGAGGGAAAGTACTTTTGTTACATGCGCCAGTTACAGTTTTATATATATATATATATATATATATATATATATATATATATATATATATATATATATATATATATATATATATATATATATATATATACACATCCAACTACACAATATAATAAAGATAAAAATAAGAATAAAAATAGATAAAAGATATACACATATAGCTCTTCTGTATATGTATATATATATATATGTATGTATATATATATGCATATGTAAAAACTAAATCCAAGTAAAGTGATACGATAAGTGATACCGCACCGTGACGTCACTGCCAGATGTCTAGTGTGTTAGGTGTTACTATATTTGGGCTAAAAGGGCCACTCCCAGACTCCTAGATTACATTTTTTTTTACTGATTAATTCATTAAACACCACAGACATATTAGTTTTAGGTCAAAATAATGATCCATTGATTATTTCTTGCTGACCAGACTTTTCCTTTAACTGTTAGTTATATTTTATCTTTAACATATAAATAGAAAATACACAACAGATCAGTAATGAGATGTGTTAAAGAAAGGTTTTGCAGTCATTATTGAGGAAAGTATACATAATAATGGGCACTGAAGTGTAAATTTAAATGCTTGACCATCCAATCAGCTAAAGAAGGGCTTCATCAGAGGTAAATGTAAGTTTTAAAATGAACTAAACTGAATCCAGACCTGAATCCAACATTTGGTTTCACCTGTCGAGAAAAGATGTCCTCATAATCCAGGATATGTAAGAAGTTTAAAAAAAGGACTGAATACAGACACTGATTCAAGCACTAATAAAAGTTTATTTTATTTTCATCTATTTATTCTAAAATCCACTTTATGTAGGAGTGTGTATGACATTAAAGCAGATCTTTTAGTCACAAACTCTGCTGTTTTTCCATGTTTGTTCCTAATAGTTGCTATAACCAGAAATCCCACTTAGCTGTCTGTCTCTGCAGTTTGATCTGACAAAGCTGGAGCCGGAGCCGCCTGCTCCAACGATGGGCTCTGGGATCCTAGAGGACGGGGGTTACTTTGACCCCCCAGAGTCTCCCCCAAGCAGAGACTATTTCCCAGATTACATGGTGACGGTGATTGTTCCCCTGATCATTGCCATCGTTCTATTTCTGCTGCTGCTCTCCATCATGTATGGCAGGCGTGAGGGACTGTATGTAACCCGGCTCCAAATAAATACAATATATGGTGGGAGTAAGATTTCTACAAATATATTAATATTGTATTTTTTGTGTTTGTTTGCTTTTAGTGCCAAAAGGAATGCAAAAACAAACAAGTAAGTAGTTTGTGATGCATGCTACTGTGCATGACTTGAAAGAATCTAAGTTCAGGTTTCTGCTTTTGATTTGTTAAAATCCGTTGATATTTGTAAGACAGTTAGCTGCATCTGACAGGTCTTGACAGTTTTCATACTCCTTAGTACAGGGGTCACCAACCTTTTTAAGGCTGAGGGCCACTTCAAGGGTACCGAGACGTAGGAAGGGCGGCCATTACTGACCCATGAGCTGCAAGGGTTAGCGTTAGCCTAAACTTTGTTCATTATCAACATATTTTTATTGTTTCTGTAAATTTTTTTAAGTTTATTTAGACATTGTCATTTTGAAATCTCTATAAATGATTAAAAAGAAGAGCAACAGAATAAAATAACATTTCAAACTTAGCCCACTGGTGGGTTGTTCTTTATGTAGAAGAATCTGAGGGCCCCCCATGTGGTCCTTGAGGGCACCACGTTGGTTAGTAGTTTCATTTTGTCATTTTAAAACAATTGGTTTTGTTGCCTTGTTCTGCAGCAGATTTCTTCCTGTTAAAAGGGAGTTTTTCCTCTCCACTGTCGCTACAAGCATGCTTAGTGTGAGGGATTGACTTTAAGTCAATGAGTTGATGCAATCAACTGGTTTTCCTCAGATAGAAAACTTTGAATCAATCTGACTGGATGATCTGGTTGAACTATAAAGTGCCTTGAGGTGACATGTGTTTTGTGCTGAAGAAATAACTGAATTGAATTGAATTGAATTGGGGTTTTTTAATATTATAGACCGGCACATATTAGTAGATTAGATGGGAGTGAGAGAAAAACAACTCACAATTTTATATTTTTGCTACAAATAATAACCTGCATTTCTTTGGGGGTTATCTCTCTAATTGGTTTGTTTAATTAGAGAATATACATCCTTTTTTTAATGATAGATGAAGCCACAGATTCACACTTAGCTTTTATTCTGGACTTTGACTGGACCGTTGGAATACACATTTATTTTGATTTTCAACTATTGCATTGCAGTTGTCTCAGTTGCGCTGAAGAGCAATGTCCCACACCATGAATCTCCCACTGCCATGTTTTGTTGTGGCGGGGCTTCGATCAGGGATGTTTACAGTCATAGTTTTTCCTCTATCCAGTAGATAAATTTGGCCTCCATCTTCCCAGAGCAATATCTTCACTGGAAACAATCGAAATCTAGATAAATCTTTTTTTTTATTAAAATAAGTGCATTTGTTCTTGGATTGAGGAGGTAAAAGAGACATTTTGCCAATAGAACAAGACAATTTACACTTCAAATAAGAAAACACAATTGCATTGTCTTATTTCAAGTGCATGTTACCTAATGATCTTATTTTAAGAGTAAAAATACTCATTCCATTGTCAAAACTACTCAAATTAAGGATAAATACACTTAATTTAAGAAATTTTTACTTATTTCTAGACCATTTTCCAGTGTTTAACCTGTTTCAATAATAATAATGATAATAATTGAACTTTATTGATCTCATATTGGAGAAATTTACCTCCGCATTTAAGCGATTCCCTTGGGGAGCAGTGGGCTGCCATTGTGCGGCACCCAGGGAGCAGTGTGGGGTTAAGGGTCTTGCTCAGGGACCAAGAGTCTCTCGCTTCTTGTAGCAGACACAAATTCTTAAAACTGCTCCATAAAAGCCAGATTTGCAATCCAGTGTATCCTAACAGACGGCGATAATTATACATAGATTGAATCACAAAGTGAACCGTATTTACTAATAATCTGACCTCTGTAGATAGTTGGCTGCACTTCTTTTCAAATAAAAACTGCATTCCACTGCTTGTGGGAAAAAACTAACAATAAGATATGATTCCCTACTGCATTTAATTATTCTGTGGTTTTAATGTAACAAAATGTGAAAAGAGGGATTATGCATATGGCTGCAAGAGTCTACATCAACCTGACTATGGCGTTCTGTTCGCTGCAGCATTCAGCTGTACCATCACCAAACCATCCATGGGAACACTGAGGAGCTGCGCAGCATGGCCTCCCAGCGGGGGGTCCCCGCCCCTCTGTCCACGCTGCCCATGTTCAACAGCCGAACCGGAGAGAGGGCTTCACCGCTGCAGTCAGACAGCATCCCTCTCATCATGGCCCAACAGTGAGCATCTCACCCGCCAACTGCTGATGTTCTGATCTGTTGTTGCATCTTCCTGTGACACTAGACAACCAGTGCCACCAGGGGGCGCCACTGTGCCGGTGTAAATTGCAGTAGCATCAGTTTAGCATTTCATCCCATTATCATTATACACCTGAAATTATGGCTTTTAGTTTCAGTGTGCCACCTCTAGATTTTTAGTGGCCCCGTCTGGCCCCCCTATGAAACATTTTTGCAGACAACTCTTCCAGTATGGAGTGAACACTCGTTACAAAACAGAATAGCCAGTTTGGGTGTCCTGAAAGCCCTGCTTTCTGGGTAATTATCAATCTTTTTTTTATTGAAATCAATCAAAGTGGAGAAATTTACTCTTTACATCAGCGAAAATAGTCAAGAAGAAGGAACCAGATGAAATCACATGCTGTGAATAATGTTTGTGTAGAAAAAGGTTGTTACAATAGAAAGCAGTTAAAGTTCCCATAAGTAGAGTTTGTGTTTTAAAAAATGAACAAAAACATAAGCAGGATATCAACTTTACCTGCATCACAACACTGGAAAAAAATCCAAAACTAGATAAGTCAATTTTTCTTAAATTAAGTGCATTTGTTCTTGAATTGAGGAGGTAAGTGAGACACTTTGTCAATGGAACAAAACAATTTACATTTAAAATAAGAAAAAACAATTGCATTGTCTTATTTCAAGTGCATGTTATCTAATTATCTTATTTTAAGAGTAAAAATACTCCATTGGCAGGTGATCTTATTTACCTACTCAAATTAAGGGTTAATACACTTCATTTAAGACATTTTTACTTATTTCAAGATCGTTTTTTACGGCACTATTGGCTCATTTTTATGGTCAGTAGCCTGGCAGGAAAGGAGGTATTAGAGAGGAGCAGAGACAAGCGGCAAAGGACTACAAGTCAGATTTGAACCCTGGTCCTCCGCATCGAAGACTAAGGCCTCCATACATGGGTCGTCTACGCTAATGATTGCGCCACCAAAGCGCGCCTGCATCTTTTAATCTTTTGATCAAATATCTTTTATTTCAGTAGTTGGTCTCCCATACAAGATCAGCTGGCACTCTACTTACTGTCAGTCCTGTTAATGTTTTTCCCCATCATTCTTTATCAACACTTATTTTTTCCCTTAAAGCAAACCACACACAGAGAGGGTCTTTGACTGAATAATTTTTCAATTTTTCTTTAGATAGTCTAGAGTATGATTCCTTTCTTCTCAGCTCATTAACACGTTTTCTACAGCAATGAGGTCTGAGGATTAAATCATCCATTGAAAAAGGTTGAATGCCTGTCGGGTGAACAGAAACAAACTAGCTTTCATTAATCAAGCTTATTTATTAAGCTTCCCTGCACACAAAATAGGGCCTGAAAATTGAGTACTCCAGCTTCCACATAAAGGTTGTAATTTATAAAAAAAAAAAACATCGGTGTGAAAATGAGCAGCTCCTCCCCCACAATCTGGGATCTTATTCTTTTAACATCTAATCGTTTCCATTTTGAAATATTAAGATTTGGTGGCTTAGTGAAACAGGCGATAGTTTCTTATCCTTTTTGAGAAAAGATGATATTAAGTTATTTGAGATAAAAAAAAAAAAAATTGTCATGATTTTAATAAAGTTTAGACCCAAATGCTGAAGACCAAACAGGGAGACAAGGAGAAAAGGTTTAACAGGTTTTATTGAAGAGATAATGCAGAGAGAAGTGTTGCTCTGAACAATGCTCAACCGGAACTGAAAAGTGAGGGGAAGAAACAGCGATTAGTTCAGGCTCAGTGGGAAATTTGATTCGTGAACTTGGAGAAGAGGATCGGGTTGCTGACTCACATTTCCAGAGAAGTTGTTGAATCTTTGACTTCAGTCTGTATGCTGTTGTTCCAGTATTTGTCTGATTCGGTGGAGGGCGGAACAGGGTTTACCCAGAATGCGGTTGTTTGTTTGAAGCTGACTGCCACTCAGATTTCTTGCGGTACTTGAACGGGTCGTAGTGGAGACGAATCCCTTTCTCAGTGTGAAGCTCAAACGATCTCTTGGGAAAGTGGCTCCAAACCTCCTGTTTGTAACCCCAGCTCAGCTTGAAGCTCTGTTGATCCTTCCAGGGAGAGAAGGTCCGAAAAATCCAGTTTGCAGGATGACTTTCTGCCGGGAGGCAAAGACAAAAACAATGTTAAAACTCGGGTTGACCAGAACCAGGCGCCTCCTGGTGGAGGAAGGGAGACAAACACAGAAACACAAACATACAGACAGGAGTCCTGACAAAAATGTCATATTCAATTTCTTTGAATTGTTAATGGGTGAAAAATTTGTGCAAATATGCAGTTTGCTCTTTTAAAAACTACAAATTAGCCATTCGAGACATATGTGATGGCATACACTAACTTACTAGCAAGGAGATTAATACTATAGGAGGCCTCCCTTCCTACTCATGTTCATTCATTAAAACTAGAAAACAATAGATAAACTGTGAGATCATCTAACCGTTTCTAAACTGTGTGGAGAAATTGGATGCTCAATTAATTACTTGCTGAAATACATTAAACTTTAACCTTAACCACCCTCCCCCTTTATTTATTTATGTATTTATTTTAATTTTATTTTACTCTATTGTTACTTTGGGGTATATCCATCTCCTGAATGACTCGCCTGCTGGGGCGGGACTACAAGGGAAGGGTGATGATAACTAAAGTACTTATTTCAGAATTTGTATTGCATATTTGGATGCTGAAAATAAAGTAAACCTTATTCTGGAAGAAAAAAAAAGTTCACATTATGCATATTATAATTTTAATGGTGTTGGGTTCTGTTTCGTTATCTTCACAGGGAACCCTACAGCGACACGCTGCCCAGGTAAACCAGATCACTGCATTCATTTGTTTTTATTGATACTGATGCATCCAATCTTTCTCACGTTGTTTTTATTTGCAGGAAGTGAAATGCTGATGGCGAAGATCAGTTTTGCTGCATGTACGTTTTCAGTTTCGGTTTGACAATTTATTCCTTGCTTTTCTTAACTGTTTGTGCTTTCGCTACCACCTTTTAGCCCTCTACTGTTTTCTGCAGTTCAAAACGTATTCCTGAAACTTTAATCCATTCTTTTGCTGTAATCACATATTATTTTCAGCATGGTTGTTAGATGATTCCTTCCTATGTAACACATGATGCATACTCTTTCAAATTGGGTAAAGCAATGCATATCTACCAATAAATGATTCATCTATGCAAAAGGATTCTTTTGATTGCTTAAAAACAAATAAGATGTTTTGTTTAAGGGGCGGCACGGTGGAGAGCGCTGTTGCCTTGCAGCAAGTAGGTTCTGGGTTTGATTCCAGGGTCTTTCTCCATGGAGTTTGCATGTTCTCCCCGTGCATGCGTGGGTTCTCACAGGGTACTCCGGCTTCATCTGAAAGTCCAAAAACATGACTTCTCTAAATTGTCCTTAGGTGTGAGTGTGTAGGGTTGTGTGTCGCTGTGTTGCCCTGCAACAGCCAGCCGACCTCTCTAGGGTGTACCCCGCCTCTCGCCCGTAGACTGACAGTGATAGGCAGCGGCCCCACCATGACCCTGACAAGGACTAAGAGGGAGAAAATTGATTCAACTAAAGGAACAGATGGTTAGCTAACCCAAACTATGTCATGACCTTTAAGCATATAATTAGTTAAAAATCCATCTCCTGAAAATAGGAAGAGAATCTCACCTAAACTGGCAGGAAGGGAACGGACAGAATTGACAAGAGAAGCAGCCATAGCAACTCAGAAGGAAAGCTGTTTTTCAGTTCCTATAATTTGGTAGCCTCGTGAGACCATCCTGATCTCGCGAGCTTTCAAGATTTTTCTCGCTAGTCAGTCTGGAGACTCTCAGTTGAAGAAAATTTGGAGCCGTTCACCAAACGAACGTCCAATCAACGTTGGCTTTGAGGCGGGTTGAGGTGTGATGCAACGAGAAGCGCGACAGTTCAGTCTAAAGAAAATGGCGGCTTCAGCCGATGAAACTAGCGTTAGCGTGGCTATCAAGCAAGTTTTATCGGAATTACAGAGTATTTCTTCACTGAAAGAAGCGCAAAAAACTGCTCTGGAGGCTTTTCTCAGAGGAAAAGATGTTTTTGGTCTTCTCCCGACTGGTTTCGGCAAGAGTAGCCTGGCTGTTAGTATGTCATATGCTTCGTTGATCTGATTGGTTTATTTGGCCCGTCTATCACCAACATAGGCCAATCAGCTAACCAGTATTTTCGCCCCTTCCCAAAATTACTTCAACCGAAGGTTTCCAGATGGATATGCGGAGCAAATCCATCTGGCGGAGTCAGGTTAATAATTCGGGTTCATGCAGTATGCCACAAGCAAAGTAAGACAGATGTTATGATTAAAATGCTGCCTGCAAAGCTCCCATTATCACCTTGAAGACATCATCTTCTCGTTGAGAAAGAGTGGCAGCAAAGCTTCTGCTCGGAAGAGACAGGCTTTAGTTTGGATTTGACACATACTGTAGATGGATGGAGCGAAACACAAGAGCAATGCAGGTGACGGAAAACAATGTTCCTAAAAAACAAAATGCAGCCAGATATGCCTTTCAATACTTGGAATCAAACCCTACTCATAAGTTAAAAGTATTGACCCAAAGTGACTAGTCAATACTAAACATTTGTCTTTTCTCTTCACCTAAAACTCATTAAAGTTGCAGCTTGAGGTTGGAGGAGTCGATTACAGCTGCAACGTATTTGATCCTTTGAGAGCTTTACAGACTTTATGTATCTTTACCGTTTGTATAAGTGTCCTTTGGTGGAATGAGAATAATCTGTAGGCTTCAATTCCTTCTCTGACATGTTCAGCTTTTTTTGAGGTAGAGATCAACAGCATGCATGTTGCTTTCACCCAAGAAAAGTTCTAAGCTACATAATCATCCTCAACCCACCCATCCATTTATCTTCTCTAGCTTACTCCTTCAGGGTTGCAGTGGGGCCGTGCCTATTTCCAGCAGTATATGGGCAAACGGCGGGGTACAGCCTGGACGGGGTGCCAGTCTGTCGTAGGGCAACACAGATGCACAAAGAACCATGCACACACCCAACAATTCAGAGAAGCCAATTAACCTAACATTTGAGCTTTTGGACTGTGGGAGGAAGCAGGAGTACCTGGAGACAACCGACACATGCATGCTGACAACATGCAAACCCCATGCAGAAAGACCTGGGGCCAGGCCAGCTACCCAGTGTGCCACCAATCAGCCCCATATTCATGACTTTTTTTTTATGACTACCTTTTTCATTGATTTATTGATCTCACATTGGAGAAATGTACCTCTGCATTTAACCCATCCCCTTGGGGAGCAGTGGGCTGCCATCGTGGGGCACCGAGGGAGCTATCGGGGGTTAAGGCTCCTGCTAAGAGACCCAGAGTGGCAGTATGTGAGAATGGGGCTCGAACTCAGAACCTCAGGATTCCAAGCTCTATGCCCTAATCACTAGGCCGCTAACTTTAAAACATTTAAATGTTATAATAACATTGAATAGCAAGTGTATTCAATTCACAGAAAGGGCTGTGGTCTTTTCTTATGCCTGGCCTGTTTAAGTTATGAACTTTATATAGCATAATAAAAATAACAAAAAAGACTGTTGCTCATTCTGTTTTCCTGGTTATAGCACATCATGTCCACAAGGTGGCAGCAGGTCCCTCCTGTCAGAGCATTGCTCTCTTCCAAATCTTTGTTCTTCTGATAATGAATCAGCTCCTAATGCAGGATCTGCTGAGGATGTCAGCTAGAAAGCTGATGATTAGAGTATTTCTATTGAGGGATTATTAAATTAGATGCTGTCCTTGTTTTCACTGCTGCTCCACAGAACTACATTCAGTGCAACAACAAACAAAAAAAAGTTTATTTGGCTTTTTGCAGCTCATGTTTTAAACGTCAGGCATGATTTCTGAATCCCGCATCTTAAGTCTTAACAACAGTGAAAACTCTGCCATCGAGTAGACCACTTCACATGCTTTATTTCAGCACCCAAAATAATTAAAAACATCTTGATTTATTATACATGTACAAAATAAGTACAGAACCTCTCCTTGAAACCATGAAAGTGTGTCTGCTTCTATTTCCATTTGAAGAAACTCTGCAAAAAAAGACATCAATGAAACATAAACAACCGGGGAGATGTGTTGTTCTTGTGCGGGAGGGGTTTCAGGAGTATTTAAGAAGTTTTTTTTTCCACAGGAGGGGCAAACACTGAACACGTGGGCAGGGAATTCACTCGCTCTTATCTACAAAAACACGAATGCATGCATCACATCTGCAGCAATCGCCTCTGTTATCAAACCAACAGTTAAAGAAGAAAACAATTGCACTGCATAGAAAACAAGACAATGAGTGAATTTAGTAGCACCAGAGTTCTGCAGGCAATAGTGGCAACAATTACAGTATGAGAGTGTGAGTTTGATCATCAAATACTGATAACTGGACCTCATTCGATTTGTTATAGCACCTTTGAATTGTTCAATGTTCCCCAAGTGGCTTTTTAAAGAAATATTGGGGGTAAATGAGGTAGCCATCTATATATTGCTGTGAAGGTGAGCTTAGTTGCCTTGTTCTTTTGTTGGTCCAAAGTTCAGGTGTTTTTCTTATGTATTTAGATCAACAAGACACTTCACACTTTTTACAATTTATTTAACACCAGAAAAATGGTACATATCATTTGTTGTTTTCAAAGTCCTTCTGGAGCGGTGGAAAATAGGTAAAAAAAATTTACCTGATTATTTTTTTTTCTTTATTTCTATTTTGAATCATTTCCTTTGGGGAAATTTTACACATACGTACATTATTTTGTTGTTGCCAGTGGAATCGAAGGGATTTATTCTGAGTGTCCTTGTGGTTGATTTTTTTCAGGTGAAGTAGCAGTCCCAAAAAGCGTCTCATGATTGGGGGGAAAAAAACGCAGACACCGTCTTGAGTGGAGTGGTTTTTAAGCATTGTGGACCAATGGTGGCCAAATGAGTTTTGATTGCATAGAAAAAAAAAAAGGTTTCAGAGATGGCTGTTAGAAAAAAACAACAATTTCATGTCCATGTTTCTTTCATTTTTTTTGTTTGTTTTTGGGTTTTTTTACAAGAAGCAAACAGGGCCAACTTCGACGCCAAATTCCTGATCAGGTGCACCAACATCCATAGGAGCAATGTCAATGATGGGCAGTCGGGATGTTTTCGATGTCTTGTAGTCGATGACTGTCTTGCCCCATGTGCCAGTGTGTGACTTTAAGGAAAGAAAATAAAGAAGAAACAGATATAAGACTCTAAGACCGAAACAAATATATTAAAAAACACTTAGAAATCAATCATCCATTATGTTTTAGCTCAAACTGTCATTGCTGGTGAAACATTAGACCAATCAAGCTAGTCAGAAACTTCCCATTCTTTGAAATGAGTGAACTGGATATATAATCTGTAGAGTTTCACGCACTCAGAAACGCAATAAGAGCCAATTATGTCACCCAATAAGCTACTGCTTCCAGTTTAAGACTGTGCATAAGATATTATAAAAGCCATTTCTCTCTTAAGGTTAAGATAAAAGGAATTGTCTGGGCTGGTGTTGGAGTATAAAAGCAAATCAATATGAAAACAAGTATGATGAAGCATGAGGATGGTGTCTTCTGCTAGATGTTTCTCACATTCTTCCTTTAGTTAAAAAAAATCACTCAATGGGAGCTTTTTTTTTGTGTCGGGAAGAAAATTAAACCAAAGCCAAGGAAGAACTGAGAAATACTATAATTGAACCTGTGCTTTCAGATCTACAATTTGCTGAAGCTGCTGGAGATCGAGAGAGAGCTAAACTTCATTAGATGAGCAACCAGAGTAAAGGAGCTCTGTTCTATTCTGCTCAGCCTGCAAGCTCTGTTTAATATGGAGCCCACTGCGTCTGGAAAGCTCAGACTTTCTCCAGACAAACAGACTCTAGCTACGCTATACAGTAGCAGCCATTCAAAATGGCCCTAGTAAAGCGCCATCAATTGGCAGCCCACTTCCCTCCAACTCCCAGCGAAATCCCCTCCAACTTCCACCCCCTGGAGTGACCCCCTCTTGCATATTGTTGCAAACGCCAACCGAATGGCAGCCCACTTCCCTGCAGCTTCCAGCAAAATGTCCGCCAAATTCCAGCCACTGGCCTTCTCCTGGGCGTGCATATTTATGCATATACTCCACTCTTTCACTGAATTACAGGGTCTGACCAGGAGATGGCGCTTTTCTTTAGATCTTAATGTCCACAAATCATGACAGAAAGAATATTTTAGTACAAATATTGATGTTAAAAAAGAAACTGAAGGGAGACGAGCCAGGGGCCCATCAAGGGAAGTGGAGAAATTTTGAATGACTCCTACTGTAATTTCTGATGCTAACCTTTTTGGTAGTCTTATGCGCTTCTAAAAACAAATAATTCATTAAATGCTCACAGCAAATGTCTTAACTAAACACATCAGTATGAAGGGAGAGGGCATTTACCGTGCAGCCATCCTCGCTGACGCTGTATGTGAAGCGGCTGTTGCCCTCGGCTCTGATTTCCACGTCGTTGGAGCCCTGGAGAAGCAGGGCCTTCTTCAGGTTGCCTGTGGCAGAATCCATGTAGGCAATGCTGTTCTTGCAGTGATATGTCACGTTCTGTGAGGCCTGGTTTGACATGATGCGCATGAAGGAGATCTGGATGTTGACGTCCTCTGGATCAGCACCTTCACTGCCATACTGGAACTGTGTGACGGGTAAAAGAAAAAACTTACTTTGCGATCACAGAGACGTAACGACATCAGAGGGCTTTTATGCCAGTAAATCTCACCTGGAATCCACCGGTCATGGACTCGCTGAACCAGACGTGCTTCTTCTCTCTGATGTTCTTGCTGAGGTACCAGTTCTTCATGGGGATGGAGGAATCCAGGGGGTAGACGCAGGTCTCTCCAGTCTCCATGTTGCAGTGGACCTTGATGGCATCTAGACGGGAGCCCTGGTTGGGGTCAACCCAATATGCGCCTAAGAAAGGGGAAAATAAAAGAAGAGTTTCAGGTCAAATATGTCCTGATCCCAGGCATAAAGATTGCCTATTGATTGGATAGAAGTTAACTACAGGTTTGAACCCAATTATTTGGATTCTAATAAGAAAAATCTCTTATCAGTAAAATCTAAGTCAGAAAAAAGGCCAGAAAAGGAAAGAGACACTCACCGCTCTTCCATTCAGGGTGGGACATCCTCAGGTCGCGGCACATACGAGCAGGGCTCTTCTGGGAACCATCGGGGCTGCGGATCTTCTCAACCTTCTGGGTCAGGGTCTTCAGGGTGGTGTCGACCTCCATGTCACGATCGCGCATCATGTTGGGGTCGTCGGCACGGTAGCCACCACGGAGAGGATCGGGGGCCTTCTCCTGCCTGGGTGGGGCGACGAATTCAAAGGCGCTGCCAGGGGGTCCAGGAGGTCCGGGGGGACCTGGAGGTCCAGGGGGACCCTGTTTTGAGGTAAAACAGCTATGAAATCTCTAGACCTACTGCAAGGATCCCTATGGGTTAAGGTAAGATATCTTAACTGGTTTCTAAAAGGCTCGTTTCAAAGGAGAATGATTAGAACTGAAGAAGTCTTTGGGATGAGAGGTAGAACATCTTAAAGATGTAAGATAGCTCCAAGGACTGTCTACACCATTTTACTTCAAACTTTTCCAATCCTACTTACAGAGGCTCCCATCTCTCCGTTGCGACCACGAGGTCCAGGGGGTCCGATGGGTCCAGGCATACCGTTCATGCCGTCCTTACCAGGGGAACCATGGTTTCCAGAAGGTCCCTAAAACAAAACAAGTATTAATTTTCACTCCCATCTTTCTTTATCATTTGTAGATTTGTACAATTTCTTGAGTCTTGTTCTTGACATTTTTTACACATTCCATTGGTATGATGCAAATATCAGGACTTACTCTGGGTCCAGCAGGTCCGTTGGCACCAGCAGGTCCTCTGTCTCCATGAGGTCCCTGATTGGAGATGCAAATAAAAATGTTAGGATAGTGAGCTGAAATTTAAAGTACCTTTTAAAGATAACAACATTTAAGTAGGTGTTGAACATATTTGAACATGTTTTTAGTGGTCTGATGTAATTTTCTTATATTAGATTTTGTATTTCCATGCTAATAAATGTAAAATAAATGTTTTCTTTTCTAAATTCTGATGTAAAAAATTGTATGTAAGAGAAATGAATGTCTTTTAGCTGATATTTTCCTTTAAGGTGAACATTTTCATGTTTTCCAAAAGTACACAAGGTTCTGCCACTTACTGGAGGTCCGGGCATACCAGGCTGACCGCTGAGTCCTCTGTGTCCTTTGTGGCCTCTCTCTCCAGCCTCACCGGCCTCTCCTCTGTCTCCCTTAGCACCAGCAGGGCCCTTAAAAAGGCCAAAGAAGCCATAACATGTTTAGACAATTATCTAAGACCTAAGGGGGCTTCACTATGATCCAGGTGCTATGGAGTGATGAACTTACAGCAGGACCACGGGGTCCGGCCATGCCAGATGGACCGACGGCACCAGCAGGACCCTGGAGGAAGGAGAGAAGTCTGAGTCCAAAATAAAAGACCCAATCCATTTTGGCTCTTCTTTGATAAAACAGGGCCAGCAGCTTTGGGGACTTACACTCTCTCCACGGTCACCAGTTTTGCCAGAGGGGCCAACAGCTCCAGGGGCTCCAGGAGCACCAGGAGGTCCAGGGGGTCCGGCTGCACCGCTCTCTCCACGGTCTCCCTATTAAGATCATATCTATTAGCCAGGCAGCTAAGCTCTTTACTTAAAGGAGAATTCTTCATATCCTGAGAGTTTTGGGGGACTAAATTGGATCCCAGGTCAAATGCTTGCCTTGGGGCCAGGAGATCCGTCACGACCAGGAGCACCATCATGGCCAGGGGATCCCTGCAAAGAGCAGAAAATTAGTCACTTATAGCAGTTTGAGAGAAAATCTTCAAAAAAAAAATTGTGACTCTATACCTCACGACCAGCCTCTCCAGGGGCACCAGGCAGTCCAGCGGGTCCAGAGGGTCCAGGGGGTCCACGCTCACCAACCAGGCCAGGAGGTCCCTGCTTTCCGGGCTCACCCTGAGAATTACAACTGAATGCTTAGCGAACGTTTTCATAGGGTTTATAATTGTATTTGGCCGTCATATCACAGAGAAAATCTGCAAAAAATACTCACGGATGTTCCAGGCATGCCGGAAGGACCGCGCTCTCCACGCTGCCCAGGGGCACCTACAATACCACGCTGTCCAGCAATACCCTGGGGTCCTGAAATACCAGGGGCGCCCTGCAGAGGCAGGCATAACACTTAGCAGGGTGGTATTACACGCAAATAAGCAGCAACAGAGTTTTGGCTTCATTAAGAACTTACAGGAGCTCCATCAGAGCCGGGGGATCCCTTCTCTCCGCTGAGGCCTGGAGGTCCAATAGCACCAACCTCACCAGGGCGACCAGCAGGGCCAGTCTCACCCCGAGCTCCTCTGGGTCCATCCTTTCCGACGGGTCCAACAGGTCCAGGGGGTCCAGAGGCTCCCTAGAAACATCCCATAGATGCACTCAGATATTGCTGTACTGTTAGGTAGAAGAAGATCTATGTTATGATTGTAGAGCTCACAGCGGGGCCAGGGGGTCCAACTCTGCCGGCAGGTCCAGGGAAACCGGTAGCACCCTACGGAAACATAAATGGGACAATTTCCTGTTAAAATAGACAGTCGATCCAGAGAAATTAAAACAAGTTTGTTAGAGTTAGAACAAGAACTACTTCAAGAACAAAAAAACTGTTAACATTTCTTCAATATTCAGTTTTTTTTTAGACCAAAATGTTGAATTCTGTCTTTTAAACATCTGAACTCAAATGGAGAGAATAAAAGGACTTTTGTGATGTTGTATATCAAACCTTCAGATTAGAGAAACTGGAGCAGAAGATTAAGGTAAAATCAAATAATAATAAATCATCTCCAGTGCTTATCCATTTAAATTCTCCAAAAAGAGCCATTTCAAAGTCAAAGTCTTCCCAAAACTCCAATTTGTTTCCATAACTTTCATTAAGATTTGAACCTTTCTCAAACTAAACAGCACTATGAAAATAGAAAAGGATAAAAATAGATTGTCTGTTATAAAAAACATCCAATATTTTGTCGTTCTTTTTGTTTAAAAATCATCAGTAAAACAGATCAATGTTGGTGCAAAGATGGAGTATTTTTCCATATTTTGAGTTTCTTTACTTTACAGGACTGCTTATCCTGTACTAATTTCAATTGGTGGGTGAATTTTCTGAATTTTTTCTTTCTTTTAAAGAATTCATGGTATCGAGAAAAAAAAAAAAAATCTGTTATATTTCTGTAATTTAGTTTTCCATGCACTTTTTCTTTAGAGTAATGCAACTGTGAAGGATTACTCACAGGAGGTCCAGAACCACCACGAGCACCTTTAGGTCCAGTAGCGCCAGCGGGTCCCTGTTGAACAGAAAAGTATAAAATAGAAAAAACAGTTATGCATATCATGTGGAAGCAACTCATTTATGAATCATTATGACATCATCTGTTTTTACCAAGATTACATGTCACCAACCTGAGGACCAGCAGCTCCGACGGGTCCAGGAGGTCCAGCAGGACCAGCATCTCCTTTGGGTCCGGAGTCACCGCTTTCTCCCTTGGCACCAGGCTGACCATCAGCACCCTGGAAGGGGATAAAACAGACTCATGATGTCATGGATGGATGGATGGATGGATGGACGGACGGACAGATGGATGGACTTTACTTACAGGGGCTCCAGCGAATCCAGCAGGTCCGGCAGGTCCATTCTCTCCACGCTCACCCTGTTGGTGTCATCAGCGAGTTTAGTTTAATCTATTGCGACATTCTGCACACTTCCTCATGCATCTGGGTCACTGCATCTTTATGGCTGAAGGAATCTTTATATTTGAAAGAGAACTTACTGGGGAGCCACGAGGACCGGAGGGTCCGACGATTCCAGCAGGACCCTGCTCACCCTAAATCCACAGCGGGAGAAAAAGTACAGGTGAGTAAAATCAAGGGTTTGCTACCTGGAGCTCTTTAGCCCCGCCCACTACCCACATAGGAATACAAACCATCAAAATAACAAAGAATTTTTTTTTTTGTACGTAATCAAAATGAACAATATTAGTTCTGCAAATATTAGTTCAGGAAAAAAAAACAAGATGTTGCTGCTCTTTTATTTGGCATCAGATGATTATTTTCTTTTATTTTAATAGGGAATTCAATAATATCTATTGACTGTCTTTATTGTACAGAAAATCTTCTTTTTTGAAATCTTTGTATAGATAAATTTTAAGGTTTAAATTATTTCATTCTAAATGTCTGTTTATATCACATTAGTTAAAAGGCATATTGGAACATTTTTTTTAAATCAGGTTAAATGTAAAAAAAAATAAAAATACAACCAGATTTAATGAAAAAGACACACAAAAAAAGCAACTTAAAAGACCTGCATAGATTAAAAAAAAAATTTTTTAGTGATCTTACCTTCTCACCCTGGGCACCAGGAGGTCCAGGAACCCCAATAGCACCGGTTGGACCACGCACGCCATCTTTGCCAGAAGCACCATCAGCACCTTTACCGCCAGGGTCTCCCTAAAATGAGAAAAGTGTCACTAAATATGTCAGTTCTTTCTTAAACCTATCAAAATTAAAAAAAATATCAAATTAAATGCAAAAAACAGAACTGAAACAAACAAGATGTCATTTTAGACCAATGATTCCTAAAGTCGGGGTCAGGACCACCTTTGGGGTCATAGGTCAACAAGTATGAGGTTTAGAGATCTTCTACGGAAATGAAAATAAACCAAACAAGGATGATGGTGAAGTTTATTTATATACATAATCACCATTTGGTGGTTGATCCTGTTTGTATTATAATTATCAATATAATTTTGTCTGTCTTTCTGGTATAATTCTGCTAAACCAAAGAACGAATGAGCTACTGGGGCGAACCTGACGCTGTTGTGACAGAAAGATGTCAGAACCCCCAGTTTGTTAAGTCAAACTTGGTCATAATGTTATGCATGGTTGAAGTATATTTTTTTAATATTTGGATCAAATATTTTGATCATTTTAAAAAATGTATGTTTTCATTGTTACAAAAATATAAAAAAAACAACTTTATTGTGATTTTTTTTTATAATAAGAGAGAGATAATACTAATCTGTGCATCCATAACTCGATGTCAGATATTTTTTCAAGGCTTTGCTGCGTACTTTTATATAAAAAAGAAAGAACAGGAAGTTTATACAAAGGAAATATTAAAGAACAAATTGCATGCTGTATGGTGATGATACCCACTCTCTCTCCCTTGGGTCCAGGCATACCAGCAGATCCTCGCTCTCCAGGCATTCCCTGCATACCAGGGGATCCTGCAGCACCGGGGGCGCCGGCAGCACCAGGCTCTCCCTGTGCAGGGGACACAAGACGAACAAAAACCTTAGTCAGTCCCAGATTTGATTCAAATTAGACACATTTGATCTGAAGGCAAAGTAATAGTACAGTTTGAAATGAGCAAAGTTGTTTATTAATGAACTTGCTGCTGCCCCTAGTGGCAGTCCGGTATATTGCATAGGTTTGTCATACCTGCATTTACCTTTACAGGTTATGATTAAGAAGGAGGTTTGTTTTTCTGTCTTCAGTTAAAATCTGAATAAGATCTTTTAAATTAGGATCCTTATCATCATGAATCATTTATTTATTTTTATCCTTTAAATGCAAAAAATACCAGACAAAGAGATCCAGTGTGTACTCAGTAATATGTACGCAGATCGGGCCAATAGAATCCAGTCATACAGACATACAAATTTCATCTTTTTATGCTAACTGTAAAGAAGTGGACATTAATTCAGTTTAAAATGCCAGTGGGTAAAAAATAATAATAATAATGCATAAAGCTTTCAGATTTAAATCAATCCATTGTTCTTTGAAAGAATAAAGCGAACCTCCCTTAAACAGAAGGAAACCTCCAGCTTCACCTATAAGGATGCAGGTTAAATATTGCAGTAAAGCTGAAATCACCAGTTGTAACAATTTTCCAACTGTTTATTTTTCTCCAGATGTTTAATCTACTAACATATTTCCATTGACTTTGGGTAAAAATGTTTAGGAATAAGAGACACTATGACATAGAGTCACAGGTTCATGGGGAAATGACCGTACATTTTCATAGATGTTTGTTCAGCATGACTATGGAAACCTGTTTTATGCTCATAAAACTAAATATAAAATGACCAAAACAGTTTTAAACCATCACTAGAAGATAACAGCAGCAATCACTGCATCGCAGAACCAAGATTTATAGATACGAATCGAAAGTTCTGACCTGTAGCCCTGAAAATCATAGATACAAGCGGAGCTAAATAGAAAGGACACCAACACACATTAAGAGATGATGGTGTTTCCATAAAAAATGCAGTTTTCTTTCAGGCAGATGTAAAATTATCGCTTTCAGCCTAAATCAGTGGAATTCACCAATAGTCAGCAGAAAATGGGACAGAAATCTGATAATAAACACATCAGAATAAAAAGTTCTATTATTTTCAGGTTAAAAAACATAAACCACTGACCTGTACTTTGTTCTGAGTTTAATAACAATCAGATAAAATGGGGACATATGTTTTCATACATAATGTGGAACAATCTTGTTGGATTCAAAGCTATACATGACCTTCATCATATCTGGAGTGTTTTGTGTCTCTATAATCCTTAGAAATAAAGTATCAGTTCTAAATAAATACATAAATTATTGTAACACGTACCCTTGGTCCATCATTACCGGAAGCACCAGGGGATCCACGAGGTCCTTGTGGACCAGGAGGGCCGGAACCACCGCGCTCGCCGGGGAAGCCTCTGTCACCCTGGAGGAAAGAAAAAAGAATAAAACTTTAGCCTTTCTTTCTGATAATGGCAGGAAAAAAAGCAACATCTCTGATGGGGAAGGAGGAGCTTACTCTGGGTCCAGATGGGCCGGGTGGTCCGGCTTCACCAGGAACTCCCTGAACGAAAGAAGCATCAGAAAGAGAAGTTATTGAGAGTTCCTATTGTTTTATTTTTGATATGTCCAAATTATTTTCCATCAATGGCTTAAATTCAGCGTCTAAAACGGTTTGTAGCGCAAATCATACCTGCTCACCAATCTTGCCAGTCTCACCAGTTGCTCCTTGAGGTCCAGGAAGACCCTGAACAGAAATTAGAAGTATGAATTATACATTATGCTTAAAATTAGATATATATTCAACAACAGACTAACGCAAAAGATATTTTGGATGCGGAAAAGCATCAAAAACTCACCTGGAATCCTGGAGCACCAGCAGGTCCCTGTTCTCCCTTCTCTCCAGCAGGTCCCTGTAATCAGACATTAGAAACCTGTTAGACGCGATTAATTCACATTCCTGGAAAATTAGAGAAGCGCAACTATTTAATTATGGAAAATAATGATGGTGAAATGCTTACAGCAGGGCCAGAAGGTCCAGGAGCACCAACATCACCATCTTTGCCAGGAGCACCCTGGATGCAGGAAGGTCACAACAATCATTACATGTTTTTAATGCTCATATTATAGAGCGTTAAATATTTTAATAGACACTATTTCACAGTAAACATGATCTAAAAGCGCTTTATACAAATAAATATGTTCAGTTCAGTCCAGATTAAAGCATTCAGTCGGATTATTTTCACAATCTTTTTTATTTCATTCCTAGCTTTCTACTTTTAATACACATAAACCTAGTCTAATCTAATCTAATCTAGTCTGATCTAATCAGTTTGATCTAACCTAAACTAATCTAGTCTAGTCTAATCTAATCTAACCTAACCTAATCTAATCTAGTCTGATCTAATCTAGTTTGATCTAACCTAAACTAATCTAGTCTAGTCTAATCTAATCTAACCTAATCTAATCTAATCTAGTCTGATCTAACCTAAACTAATCTAGTCTAGTGTAATCTAATCTAATTTAATCTAGTCTGATCTAATCTATTCTGATCTAACCTAAACTAATCTAGTCTAGTCTAGTCTAGTCTAGTCTAATCTAATCTAACCTAATCTAATCTAGTCTGATCTAACCTAAACTAATCTAGTCTAGTCTAGTCTAATCTAATCTAGTCTATTCTAGTCTAGTCTGATCTAATCTAATCTAATCTAATCTAATCTAGTCTGATCTAACCTAAACTAATCTAATCTAGTCTATTCTAGTCTAGTCTAGTCTAGTCTGATCTAATCTAATCTAATCTAATCTAATCTAATCTAATCTAGTCTGATCTAACCTAAACTAGTCTAGTCTAGTCTAATCTAATCTAGTCTGATCCAACCTAAACTAATCTAATCTAGTCTATTCTAGTCTCGTCTAGTCTAGTCTGATCTAATCTAATCTAATCTAATCTAGTCTGATCTAACCTAAACTAGTCTAGTCTAGTCTAGTCTGATCTAATCTAATCTAATCTAATCTAATCTAATCTAATCCGATCTAATAATACTGAAATCTAAACCAATCATGAAAAAGCTGTAGTACTTACAACGGGGCCGGTAGCTCCAGCGGGACCTCTCTCACCAGTTTTACCAGACTCGCCCTGTTAAAGCAGAGAGTTAACACTTATATGATCCCAGCATCCCAAAGATACTCCGATAGACACGGTAAGATGAGGGATTCACTCACAGGGGCTCCCTTCAGTCCGGGGAATCCCATGACTCCAGGTTGTCCTCTGGATCCAGCGGGTCCAGGAGGGCCACTGCGGCCATCTTGTCCAGGAGCACCCTGGTGATCATTGATTAGAAACAAGGCTGGTGAGAAAATGCACTAAAACATCACTTTGATTGTTTAATTCTTTCTAATGATATGACACATATGGTAAAGAGACGTTTCAGGTTGATTCTATGTTGACCAACAGACATCTGAGTCCAATTCTGGTTACATCACACTGGAAAAATCGAAATCTAGATAGGTGTCTTTTTCTTAAAATAAGTGCATTTGTTCTTGGATTGAGGAGGTAAAAGAGACATTTTGCTAATGGAACAAGATTATTTACACTTGAAATAAGAAAAATCTATTGCATTGTCTTAGTGTACATTATCTAATTATCTTATTTTAAGAGTAAAAATACTCATTCCATTGACAAACTATCTCATTTACTTACTCAAATTAAGGCTAAATACACTTAATTTAGGAAATTCTTCTTTTTTCTAGATTGTTTTTCCAGTGCAAGCTCAAATAGTTCAGATTTAGAGTGAATTTTTCCTTTACTTTCTTTACAAAACTGTTTGGTTATAACAGTTTTTCTCTCTTTATCGCTACTAAACTGCTGAGATTTCGCATTTTTAAATAATCCTTTGTCCTATTTTCTATTTGATTATTACATCTTCACTAAAGCGTGTTCTTTACTACGCTTTTATGACAATAAAGTTTGTTCTATTCTACTTGATTCTATCTTCCTCTTACCTTTTTTAATCACTCAGCCAAAGAAAGTTAATCCATTATCAGTGATTGTAACTTTACGCCAGGCTAGCTCAAGTGCTAAGTCACCTGATTTGCACACAGGAGGAATTCCCTCATGTGGCTCCTTTACGCTAATTTCTGCTTTGCAAGTCGCTTTGGATAAAAGCGTCTGCTAAATGCATAAACATTAAACATCAGTTACTTGCTATTAAATCTGCCTCTTGAGTTTAATAGATTATGAAAGTGAGGTTGGTTTATTAACTTTAATCTATTCTGTGCTGTTTTATATTGTTATACTGACTTTTTTTCTTTTTTTGGGGATTCGATCTAAAGAGATAGATTCTTATTTGACTTTATTATAAAATATCAAAGCAGTTACACAAAAAAAATCAACCTTTACTTGCACTGATATCCGAATCTGGGCCGATATTGATATTGCTGCTCTGGTCAATACCTGATATTTACTGATATGTTTCCCGACCTTGTAGACACACATGATCACTGCACTGGAAAAACGATCAAGAAAGAAGTAAAAATTTCTTAAATTAAGTGTATTTATCCTTCATTTGAGCAGGTAAATGAGATCATTTGCAAATGGAATTAGTATTTTTACATTTAAAATAAGATAATTAGATAATATGCAGTTGAAATAAGACAATGCAGTTGTGTTTTCTTATTTTAAGTGTAAATTGTCTTGTTCCATTGGCAAAATTTGTATTTTACCGTCTCAATCCAAGAACAAATGCACTTATTTTAAGGGGGAATAAATTAACTAGATTTAGATTTTTTCCAGTGTGTTACCTGAGCAAACAAACACTACATGACCGATCCCTTCAAAAACAACTGTTTATGTTTAATATCGGCCCTTTTTGCTGATTGGACCGATACTTTAGAAAATAACCAACATTGGTCAATCCTAAAATTAATATATTGTGAATCTACGTAGGCTTTAACTTGCTATCCGGTGGGATCTTTAACTTACAGAAGGTCCGACTTTGCCGTCAGGGCCGGGGCTTCCAGGGCTTCCAGTCACACCCTAAAGAAGAGAAGCAAAGTGAGATTAAAGAATGTTTTATTTCAGAATCGATCGCGCTGCTTCTATTTAACTCAAAACTCACCTTTGATCCGGGAGCACCAGGAGCGCCAGGGGTTCCGGCTTCACCGGTGGCTCCCTGAGGTCCCATTGGTCCGGGGGCACCACGCTCACCTGGGGTGCCCTGTTTTATAAAAAGAACACATCCAAGTAGGTTCAATCATATTTATACGGATGATGAGAGTAGTTTGAAAATCAGCTCCTGATTCGTGAAATCACCTTTCCACCAGCAGCTCCATCAGAACCAGGGAACCCACGAGCACCAGGAGCGCCCTGAAAAGCCAACGCACCAAGGTCACACACTCTGGAGGTTTATTATTTTACTGGAGTAAAATACGGTGATCTGAATGTCGCTCTAAAGGTAAAGCCATTACCAATTGAAAGGATTTACCTTTTTTTTCCCAATTAAATGAACTTCCTGTTATCTTTTCAAATTAAAACCTTAATAAAGACACTGTGGTCTGTTTTTCTAATAATAAACCTCACAATATTGTCTCTGCTTCTAAAAAAACAGCTTTTTTTATTCCTCCAATACCTGTGCAGTAAGTTTACTATATATCGGTAGTTTTCTTTATTTTATTTGCAGATCTAAGAAAATTTCTAATGTGAATTTATGAAAGTTGATCCTGAGAGTTAGTATGTTTTATACCTGCTGTAACTGAGTATGTTTGGAATTTTACAGTTTAAAGAAATATATGAGAAAATAATAAAATTATGTCTAATTGGGGATTTTTTCCCATAAAAAAGACATGGAAACATAGATTGACTTATTCTGGTGCCTGATGTCAGCAGTTTTTTGTAGGTTTTTTTCAGGGGAAGTTCTTTTTGAATTTCTTTGCGTTCAATATACGAACTAAACGTGAACAAAACACTTCTTACTTGCAATGCCAGCAGAAAAACATGGAGCACATTTCTCAAAGAAAAGGAAAACCCAACTTACACGCTCTCCAGCGGGTCCACGGGCTCCGGCACCACCAGGCTCTCCACGAGGTCCTCTCTTTCCCTCCTCTCCAGAGGGGCCAGGGAGTCCCTGAAGTCCAGCTGGGCCCTGAAAGAGAAGGAAATCCCTCCATTTCTTATTCACTTGAAACGCAAAACATTTTCCAGTTTCTGTAAAATGAAATATTGTAAATTGGTGCTATATAAATTAGCTGAATTGAATTTTTCACACTTACAGTCTCACCCTTGGCACCGGGCTCTCCCTTAGGACCAGGAGGACCAGGCTCACCCTGTTGGCAGATAAACATTTCATTAATTCTGTTGGATCATTTCAGATTTTTCTGACTCTGATGAGTGACATTAAGGCAAACAATCAGCTGTTTACTCACATTGTTACCCTTGGGGCCAGGAGCACCAGCGCCTCCCTGAGCTCCAGCGGGACCACGAGTGCCGGGGAAACCAGGAGCACCAGCAATACCAGGAGCACCCTGCGTGAGGACAAGCCAGGGTGTAAAAATTCTGCTTTTCACACAGTTTAAAGGGAATTAACCTGATCTGAGTGACCCATGTTATACTTACATTAGCACCTTTACCACCAGGCTGACCATCGGATCCAGGATTGCCCTGTTGGAGAAAATCACAGGATACAGATATTTAATGTGTGCATATTTAAAAATAAAACTGTAAAAGTGAGAAAACAATGTTTAAACTTACAGCAGGTCCAGTGGGTCCAGCAGGTCCTGGGTTACCAGGCTCACCGCGGGATCCCTGGGGTCCCTCAGGTCCACGACCTCCTGCAGGACCAGTCTCACCCTGTCAAAGGAAGAAACGGCAATCAGAAAACCTGCACCTTAAAACTTTCATCAGAAGTTTGCAAAATATGTTTGAAAAAAGACAAAACTACACATTACACAGCATAAATATAAAAATAAATGATTACGGTTCTAATCGCGAAAGATAACCTGTTGAACCCTGTTATGCAAAATCCTATTGTAAACAATCAGATATACCTGATAACAGAGGGCAGAAGACTACACAAAAAAATTATCTTGACTTATCGCATAGTAATAAATTATTAATATCAGAAATGTATTTCTGTTTTTTCTTTTTACATAGTTTGTTAAAAGGCCAAATAACTTTAATCCAAAAAAAAAAAATTAATTTTCTGTTTTGTTTTATTCTTGAATCGGGCTTTAAAGGGTTAAACTACTACAGTAGCTTGTGCTAATTTTTCTTAGGCCTAAACAAAAACTATAAACAAATAAATATAACAACTTCTGCAAGTAGATTGAACATTTTAAAATATTTTAACGTTTTATATGAAATAGTATCAGCAGCTAATTAATGCTGGTGTTCTGTTTGACACAGAGAGGAATAGATCTGCTAAAAGGTGAAGGGTTGTAAAACGCCCTCACAGTTGGATTTAGAAAGCAGTAGAGAGTGAAGAAAAAGGAGCATTTAAGGTTCACTGATGCCATCTGTTGGCTGGTAGGACTATAAACCCTTCTAGAAATAACAAACAAGCAGATTATTTCCTTAATTTTTACTTCAAATCATGTCTTTTCAATGTTTTTCCTGCAGATTCTTTTTAGGAACTCATTGAAAGTTTTGCAGGTGAGAAAAAGCCATAAAATGACAACTTGTTGCATTTACTAAACTTTAAATAGTAAAACTTAATCTCTTGGTGAAAAGTAACCAAATCATTGCTCTACTGTTTTTTTTTTTTTTTATTCCAGTCGTCCACACTGGTGGTATTTCTCCAGTATTCTTAAAAATTGCATTGATCAGCTGTTTATTTTTTAAATTAAATGAAAAAAATATTTTTTTTTTTACTTGCCTTAGCACCGGCGCCACCTGGGAATCCAGGGGGTCCAGCAGGTCCGGTAGGTCCCTAGAAATATCATAAAAGAAAGCACATTTTAAAACAGGCATTCTCTGACAATACCACATTTTTATGTCCTCATTTTTAAATAACGCTGGATTATATTATTCTGATTATCAACAGGGAATAAAACCATTTATGACATTTAGAGATTTTTCTCCTTTATTTTAAGCGTTTTCAGCACTGAGAACTTACAGGAGGACCAGCGGGTCCGGTGTTGCCATCGTTACCACGAGCACCCTGAAAGGAAGAACATGAAATTTTAACATATTTAAGGTTCAGTTCAGCATTTGCATGCTTGCATAAGTTCAATTATTGCTTACAGAGGGTCCAGCAGGTCCGGGGCGGCCTCTCTCACCAGGAAGACCACGAGCACCCTGCAAAAAACAGTAGGCTTTAGATGACGTAACCAACAGATAAACTTATGAGGAGAACGAGGACGTACCATGGCGCCAGGGATGCCGTTCTCTCCAGGAACACCAGGCTCTCCCTGAAAAACAGAGTTTATCTATGAAACAGCTGGACTGAAACTTTTAGTTTAGACTAGAGATCTGATTTCTGGGTGTTTTACCTTAGGACCAGCAGGTCCACTGTCTCCCTTGGATCCATCCATACCGGGGAAACCCTGCAGACATCAGAAGCTATTATTAGATCCAGTTGCTGCCTGTGATCTTGTTGCTGAAGCTATAAATTATAACTGAGACTCACTCTGTGTCCCTTGATGCCGGGGAGTCCAGGAGTTCCAGGGAACCCACGAGCACCCTGCAGGAGAACAAGAAGAAACCGCTCACCATGGGAGTTTCTTCAAAATGCTCATCAAAACTTAGCGGAGGTGTAATTAGCAACAAAACTACTAATAATTTTAAAAAAAAGCAGCAATACACAATATATATAAACTGGACAACATATTAGTCGACCACTGGCTGGTTTGGCTTACCTGAGGGCCAGCAGGTCCGCGCTCACCGGGGCGTCCAGGTTTACCAGACTCACCCTTTAAAAGAAAAAGAAAAAACACATAAATTTAATTTAAAAAAAAAAAAAAAAAGAAGGAAGAATCAGTGTTTGCAGAATTTTTGATAAAGAGAAAATAATTCCCTTACATTGTCTCCGTTCTTTCCAGGAGGGCCTGCAGGACCACGGGGGCCCATTGGACCCTAAAAACACCAATAGATCAAACATTAACCAAAAAGGGGGAATGGGGTAGATAGTATTGAACGCAGAAAATCCTGGAATTTTTAAACTGATGACGTGCTAATCTCTGACCCACCAAGATTATTATTCATCAAACCAGTTAAAGTGTGCACTCACCGAAGCACCGGGCTCACCAGGCTCTCCTGCGGGTCCTGGGCTACCAGAAGGACCCTGAAAGAAATCAGGGGGAAAGTTTATAAATCAGAGCATCATTTTCAGCTGGGCGATGAGATTAAGGTGATTAGAAGCAGGGAGGGGCGTCCAGGTGAGGGCATGGGGAGCAGTGAGTCATACCTTTAAATTAAAACACTGTATTGATTTTATACAGGCTAATTCAGGTATGACAGCAGACAGAATTTCAGGAGTAAAACTGCTGCTTTTGTTCTACTGCTCAACCATTACGACCCCTGAACTCACCACCTTTTGATTATTTTCTCTAAGAACTGTGTTGGATTATGTCTCTTATTGATAGAAATGCTAACCTGGTGACCGGGAGGTCCAGGAGGGCCGCGGGCACCTGGGGCACCCTGTGGTAAGAAAAATCAAACATCAGTTTATCATTTTTTGAATCATCTGTAAAAATGGGTCGTTTTATATAGGGGGGGGGGGGGGGGGGGAGGCCTTCGTACAATTGGGCCGGGCATTGGCTGGCTGCTTGATTTTGAGGGGTCGAAGTAGCTCATCTGAGGAGAGAATTTCTGTGAAAGGAGAAGAGAAGGGTTAGTCACTTAGCACAAATACATCAAAATAAGATCTAAAGAGTCAAACTTTAAAATCTAATAAGAACACAGATTTTATTAACCATGCATTTGGTCATAATATGTCATCTAAGGAAACTAGGCCTTAAAAAGATGCTAAAAAATAATACTGATGGTTTTTGGATCCAAATCTGGTTTTCTATCATCAGTTTATCACAAAGCTGTATTTGCATTTCTGCACCGTTTGCTAAGTTGAGGTAAAGCTGTAGTTTTGTTTTTTCTTAAGGGATTTCTTTTGACTTTTCTTTTGACTATTCTCTGATGCTTACCCCACCGAAGCCAGGAGGCCCAGGGGGACCGGGTGGTCCAGGGACGCCAGGCTGTCCATCGAGGCCATCGTTGCCAGGGGGACCAGGAGGGCCCTGAAAAAAACCACAAGTATCACACATCTATCTATGCAGACGATGACTTTACTTTACAGTCAGAAGTTCAAAATTACTTATTCCTATAAAATAATATGAGCTCATTGTTAAATAAGACCTTGGCTTAATTACTTAATTGCAATCTCGTGAACTCTCTGTGACCTTCTGACCTACACCTGTTGCCCTTATGTCACAGAGAATCTGTTTCATACAGAATCTACATTTTAGTATAAACTCCAAACATTTCATTTAAGTATTGAACACATAAAACAAATGACATGCAAAGTAACTTTTATGAGGTTTTCTGAAATACTGCAGGATGCAGCGAGCCTTGCTGTTTTTAAAATAACGATAAAATAATAAAATAATGATACTTTAACATGCATGTGTATCTGTACGGAAAGTTGTTAGACTCTGGTGAAATTATTTCTACTTTCTTCACAATAGGTGTCATTAAATTCAAAACAGAGTAAATAGAAACCTACCGGATCTCCAGCGGGTCCAACGGGTACTGGTGTAATCTAAAAGCACATGAAAAAACAAAGCTAAGTCGTGCTGTGATCTTGCTCACAAGAAGTAACTATAAAGTCTGATACGTAAAAAAAAAAAAAACAATTTTCAACATTGATGAAATTATAAAAAAGGGTAAAATACCGGTGACTCTGTGTAAGGACCTAAAAAAAAGAGAGAAATGAAAAAGGAAAAGGTTAAAACTTAAGCAGACATAAAAAAAAATAAAATAAAAAAAAAATGTTTCAAAGCATGCAGGGTTAATTTTGATTTTAAACCCGGAAAAACACATTGTGATAAGTGCATAAAAAGCTTGAATGGTAGAACTTAAATAATAAAAAAGGTCATGAACTATATGTGGGTTTTGCACAAACTGACGTGTCTGGAAATTATACATATTTTGTTAGAAAGACGGTATTTATTATCCATCATTATAAAAATGAGTTAAAATGAAGAATTGAGATTCAATTAGATATTTTTATGCATATGAGATCTCATAACAGGTCAGCAGGTTGAGACACTGAGGTCCATTTGAAACCATAAAACCAGAGGAAATCTAGGGAGGAGGTAAGAGGCATGAGAATCAGCCTAAAACAGGTAGGAAGTACCATTTCCATCAGGGCAGATGGGGCAGCACTCTCCGTCAGGAATGTAGGGGTCTTCACAATCAGAAGTGTCCTCGCAGATCACCTCGTCGCACAGGATGGTCCCCATGTCGCACACGCATATCTGGCAGGGTTCTGGTTTCCATACATCCTTGTCGTTGTACGACTGTCCTTCTGATGTGCAGCTGCCAAATTGCTCTGAAAAAAAAATGTGATAAAGTCAAGAATTCCAGTAAAAAGTTGAGAAAAACTTATTTACTTACTTGTTAATATAAATTAATTAAAGTTTACAGACTTTACTGATTCATTGAATTCAGAGGAGCAGCATGTTGAGGAAACATGATCTTATATTTGAATGACATACAGCCTTATTTATAAAATATATCTTTTTTATTAATGCATGTCTTTAAATAAGTGCAAAGCCCAGCAGGTAAACTTGTATTCTTGCTCAAAATAATCCATTCTTTCTTTTTGCATAAGTCAAACTTAAGTAAACTTTTAATCACTTTTCTAAGACATTTAACATGTCAGATTGCTTATGTAGAAAAAAAACATGGTGGCTAAAATTCAGTTGACATACATTAACATTTGAAGTTTAATAATAACATTAAAAATTACCATGTGCTTAATGATTATTTTTGCATCTTTGTAAACTTTCTGGCTGCTAAACATAATTTAAGGAAGCCTAACACAAGTGTCACATGGATACTCCACATAATCTTTTAAGATCAGGACTTTTTTTTGCTTAAAACCCTAATTTAATAACAGTTACTTGGTGGTGTGAAGATGTTAGCAGACTGAAAATGAAAGGAAAGATATTAAAAAGGTTTAACTAATTATAATCTGATGTTATACTCGTTAAAATGCTTCACTTTTTCTTTGTTTTATCGGTTCTAAAGCGGCTCGCTGGCCCCTTGAATCCACCCTTTGGCTGCACCCCTGTTTAACCTCAATCATCGAGTTCCATGAAGTGAAATGTAGGGGTGATATTTTTCATGCTGTGATTATGTGTTTATAAATCTTGGAAAAATAGATTTAAATAAAGTATTTCCAAAATATCCGGTTTTTGGTGCCTTGGGTCCAATCAGACAGATTTCCTAGGCAGGGCCTCCAGGGAGGTTTAGAGTGGATGTGCAGTACTAATCCTTGCCACGTGGTGCCACTGTTGCTTTGTGAAAAGAGGGGGCTCCCGCGCCCAAGTCCTGGTGGTGATTAAATGACGTCTAGACAAACCTATTCCATTGTCGACGTCAGACTTTAGAGATTTTTCCATTGTCATTTTTTTCCTTTAACATATTATTTTAATAGCTGAATAGCAGCATCTCTCTACCTGTGTGTGTGTCTGCTCTTTACTGATAGATAAAAGCTTCTGTTTTAAATGCCCTGAACTGAAATAAATACAAATTTATTCCAGGTCACACATTGTTTAATCATGAATGAGATATTTTTGTTGGTTTGCTTGATTTTTTTTTGCTTGTAGATGAGTTTCAACTCAGGGTGAACCCATGTCCTGCCACTGAGCAGAAATAAAACAGCTGCTCCCCTCAGGTTTGCACTCCAGTAGGACATGTGTCTGCATGCCAGTGAGTGGGGGGGGGAAACAAAAGGTATGGAAAAATGTCCAGTCTATAAACTCCTATGCGCTTCCAGATCTCCAGAGGAGCCCAGGAAAAAAGAAAAGACAACTTTCTCCAGATTTGCCAAGTAGTGGAGGGAGGGGGGGCGTCAAATATCCCGACCAGTTCCATCAAACTGCGCATCCTCTGTGGACTATCCACATCCAGAGATGGCCACAGAGATAAAACCAATGTTTGAAAGAGATACTTACTATCATCCTCGCCTTGACCTCTCGCCAGAAGCACCGTTGCGCTGAGCAAAAGCGCTAACCGAATATCCACAAAGCTGAACATGTCTAAATATTAGACATGTAGATTCTTTGTGGCAGGGGGAGATCCTCTTTTTCCTCCTCAGACACCACTCATACAGGGCAGGGTCCGGTCTGTGCGTAACTCCAATCCAGACCCCAACAGAAACTCCCTACTGCCTAAACAAATTGTTCATCTTGGCTTTTATATGCCTGCGCTTTTGGGGAGGTGCTGTACGCGCACTTCGTAACTTGCTGCATGTTGGGACGCAGAATCCCTCCTTCATCTGGAGAATGGGCCGTCGCAACAAAAGCAGTTCACGTCCCATCTCCAACGTGGATGATGTTGGAAGGCATCATTTACGCGCCGGCTCTGAGGCGCACCAGACGTCCTTAATCATCTGCTCTCTGTGGATTTTCTTATGTGAGACTTCAAGTGTTGGGCCAACCGATGAGTCTTTATCTGGTTTGGACAGAGAATAACTTTTACTCCCTCTGGAAATTATTATTTTGTTTGTTTTATTTCGATACCTCCGGATTTAAAGTGGAGCGTGCGCAAATTACGCACAAGGATGGATATTATTTAAAGCATTAAATTGGCTGATTTACATAAATTATTTCGAGGATTCTTAGTCATATTTTTTATTTTAGCTATTTTTATTTCCTTCCATTTACTTGTAAGTTCTCCAAGCATCCAAACATGCGACTCTAGAAAGTTTTAAAAGATGTGACCAGGTAGAGGCACCTGGCTCTCTCATCTTTAGACCATAAAGGAACAGCCACAGTTTTATTATTCATTTGTGAAATACATGGATAATAACTCTTGCAAGCAATGAATAAATAAAGTAATTAAAGTAAAACTTTTTTTGTCATCCTCTATCATCCCCCATTCTAAAGGAACCACTGAGAACAGGCAGCTATAGACTCCACACATATGTTACTCCAAGCCTAATTATAGTTCTAGTTGGAAATATTGGTTTATTGGGTTTTTGAACTTTTCTTGAATCTATGTAACTTTTTCTACATCCTGCTCAGTTTAAGTCAACTGCAGTGCAGACATGGAGCCATCCCATTATGAGATGTTAGAGACAGAGGAGGAGGCAGAGAGAGGGAGAGAGAGTCTGGCAGATCCACAAAGCAGTCTGGTTACACTGTGGACACGTTGCAGCTTCTAAAACAGAGAGCTCCAATTTGACCTCATTTACTCTCTGCTCCTGCTTTTTTTTTTTTTTATCTAAGCTCTGTAGGCTGTGCGACTTTGGCTGCTGACAGCGAATGACATGCAGAGGACAAGTTCTATTTCATATCCATGCATACAGATCATTTTTCAATAGTTATTTCGAAATGTGTTCATATCTTCTGAATATATCCACTTCTTCTCATGTTGCCAAATTCTATGTACCTTATGCAGATTTTAGGATAAAATAGTGGAGCACAACAAGTTTTTCATGATTATGAACCAAAGGGAAGCAGTGCATTGTTTTCAAGCTTTTTAATTTTTTTTTAAATAATATATTGTATCTATATTTACCACAAATAACAAATTACAGGTTCACTTAAATGTGATTTTTGCATTATTCTATTTGATGCTTGTCAATTGATTCTATTTGTACAAATTTCCGTCAGAGGGCATCTAATAGAAAAAGATACTACACCATGTTTCTGATTCAGTTTCAGTATAAATCCAGTTGTTCTCTGAATATATTGGAGGTTTTTAACAGAAGAATCACAGCAAACAGGTGTCCAGGTTACAAACCAATTACAAAGACTTCACCATGCACTATTTAATCAAACTTATCAGAATGGAAAACATATACTGCAAACCTGCAAGATGTGACTGTCCACCTAAACCAAAAGGTGAGGCAGATAAAACAGTAAAGAGAGAAGCAGCCAAAAGCTTCAGATTATTCCTGGAGGAGCCGCAGAGTTCCACACCTCGGGGCAAAAACAAGGCAAGTGTAATCCATGAACTTCACAAATCTAGTCTGCAAGGAGCCATAGATGACATCCACAAAAGAAGAAAAGCCAGAAAGAGTTTAAAAGTCTGCCAAGTTTTGAAATCAACACAACAGACCACACTATACCATCCCCACAGTGAAGCATGGTAGTGGGGGCATAATGCTGGGGGGAATGTTATCTTGAATAGGGATAGATAAGGTTGGTGGGAAGCTGGATGGGTTAAATGCAGAGAAGATAAGCCCTGCAAGGCTGTGAAGAATTTAAAAACTAGAGAGGAGGTCCACCTAAAACCTACAGAACTAAAATGGTTTAGACCAAATAAGATCCATCAAAATGGGTCAAAATCAAAAGGAGAATTTGTAAAAACACTTAAAAAATGATTATGGCAAACGCTTTCCATCCTGAATGGGAGCTATTCTGTGAAGAACAGTGTCTAGATTTGAGTTTCTAGGTGCGCAAAGCAGTTATACTGCAAAGTAATTCCGATTAAATGAGATTCGACAAAATAGTGGCTGAGTGGATGTAAAAACCAGACAATCTAAAAGTATCATGAACTGCACACCTCATAAATAGTTGCTATAAAGCATACATGCTAAGCTAATTAGCAGAGGTGGGAAGTAAAAAGTTATATTTACTCAGTTACAGTTACTTGAGTAACTTTTTTCACTTTTTAAAGATAATTTATCGCACCAAACTTTTTACTTTTACTTGAGTAAATATCTTAATAAAATATCTCTACTCTTATTTGACTAAAATGTTTGGCTCCTTCATCCATTGTGATTAACCTTAAAAAATAAGCAGGATTTAGTGCTGCAGATAAAGTCATTTTTAGGGCAAAATTTGTGCTTTTGTTTTGTTTTTGGGACAAACACTTATTTGAACCTATCATGGCATTTGAAGGTTAAGCTAAGACACTTTTAGGAATTAATATTGTTAGAGGAGGTGCTGGTTTCATACATTTATGTAAAAGAAAAAAAATTTTTTAAAGTACTTCTGCCTTGATTTGTTATTTTCAGTTATATTATTAGTTTGTTTTATTTATCTTATTATAGTCTTTAAAATACCAGAACTTGTACATATCTGCACATCTTGATTTCTCCTTATTACATCATTTTAAAAATCTAATTTTATGCTAAGCTATTCAGTACTTGAGTAACCCTTTTACCAAATACTTATTAGTCTTACTTGAGGATTTTTTTATGGATGGGAACTTTAAACTCCTATTTTGGTTAAAATGTAAAAAAAAAGTAGTGCTACTCCTACTTAAGTGCAATCTTTGCGTTCTCCATCCATCACTGCTAATTAGCAAAAGTGTTTGCCTGGACCGTAAAAAGTGTGTTAAACCAACAAGAACACGGGGCAACATCTGCAAAGGCCAGATAAGTGAATATAATCGATCGTCGGTATGAAAAGATCACTGAGACATTTTCTAAACACTATGAAGTTCACAAATTAACAGTAAGGAAAAATAAATCCCAAATAAAAAACATGTAAGACAGTTATCTTTCCCAATATCTTTGGTAAGTAGGAAAAGTGGGGATGATTTTCCCTTTTTGTTTCCGGGTCGTAAATTCATCCTTTTTTCTACTGCTGAAATACGTTCAGTTACCTGTAGAGGTGTTAAATGTACGCACATTTTACTTTAGTAAAAGTACAAGTTCCTGTGTAATGTTATACTTTGGTAAATTTAAAACTTGAGCTCCTTTGCTTTAGTGAAAGCAGAAAATAGTATATTCTACATGTCAAGATTACATTTTTGTCTTAAGTTGTGCAAAATCAGTTTTAAAACAAACGGTAATATTATCAAATTAACAGTTCCATGTACGGAAAATTCTAATTTTTTCTTTTTTACTCATTGTGTTTATATAGAAAACATAAAAAAAATAGTTTCTCTTTCTAGTTTTGTTCTAAATAAAAAACTCAGACAGGATAATATAGATTTAAGAGAACAGAAGCCCTGCTGCGGAATTTTTCTAGAGCATTAACTTCCAAACAACTGAACACAATAAAGATGTAAATTACAATCTAACATAATATTAAATGGATGCAATGAAGTGGATGCAGCGTTCTCTCTTCATTCATGTCTCTATAAGTGTTTCTCTATAAATTTACTTGGCCTTAATTGGACAGATTCTCTCTGGATTTTTCCTGTTTCTTCAGCTGTTTCATCAGGAAGTGTAGAAGAAACAAAGCAGTTTGAAAAAAGTAAAGAGTAGAAAGTATTGTTGTGTTTAACTGTAGGGAGTAATAGTAAAAAGTAAGAAAACAGATACTAGAACAGAAACAGCAACTAAGTATTTATACTTAGTTGAGACCTCTGATGTAGTATAATGAAAAGTTTTGAGGATCAATTAAGGCTTAAGAAGATATGTAAATTTGTATGAGTCATTTTTCAGAAAAGGTCCTCCTCTGCCACTGTGTTGCTGTTGTGTTTTCTTATGCGGCTGTAATGTAAACTACAGTGGATGGGAGTTCCTATAAATTTAGCAGCTGTGCGTCTGTAAAGTCCTATAAGTACTTTTTATTGTTATTGCTTAAAAACAAATTCTGAGTTCTTACAGAGTTGTTTTTAAGTTTCAGCTTTTTCATGTTTTCTTAATAGCCTTGTTGTATTTCAGTTCAGTTCAGTTTATTTCTATAGCGCCAGATCTACTGTATTCACCAGATCATCCAGTCAAAGTTTTCTATCTAAGGAAAACCAGTTGATTGCATCGACTCATTGACTCGAAGGAAATCCCTCATACTAAGCATGCTTGTAGCGACAGTGGAGAGGAAAAACTCCCTTTTTAGCAGAAAGAAACCTCCAGCAGAACCAGACTCAATGTGAGCGGCCATCTGCCGAGGCCGACTGGGGTTCAAGGAGACAGAAGCAGAGATACAGAAAGCGACTGTAAAAGACAGCCTGGTCCAGGAAACACAGCCAAGAAGATGAGCTCAGAGCCAGCTCCCATGTCAGAGGATGAAGAGAAAACATCCAGCCAGTCACAGTCAGAGAAACAGGACTACACTGAAAAACAGGCCGATCTTCAACATCTATAAACATGGGTGTTGATTGCAGAAGCACAGCAAATATTTCTCTCCAGAATGGAGCCAAACAGGAACAGACCAGATGAAGCTACTATGAGAAAAAACTGAGAGAGCAGAACGTTAGAGATTGAACTAACAGATTATGCAGAGTGGGAGAATAGAGATAGATATTTCCTACATCTCTGTGTTGCGTTTTCTACCATTC